TGACATGAGAACGAGGACACTCATTTTATAAAGCTCTCAATCTAATTTACAGTCGTTGTTGCCTCCTGATTGAAGAAGGACGAACACATTTTATCGTTACCTTTATCAAAGCTCTAGCATGTTCAGAAAGATCATATGTGCTTGAAAACAGCGTGCTTGGAGATTTGTTTTTATTCATTCAACTCCATGTTAGATTAACATCAATAGCAGGGGTCACTACCAATTACCACAGATGATATAGAAAACCTCAGAAAGTGGAATGCACATCTTCCAAATGGAAATCTTAGCGATGAAACATAAATTTCAGCATATGAGATTTTTCCAAAACACTCATATACAAGGTATAAAATCAGTGAGGCACGTAGAGATAAACAATAGTTAAAGTTCTCAAAGAGATATCTATCAATAAATAAATAAATTAATGAACAAAGAGATGAGAGGATCAGTTTTCGACCGTTTGCAACTCTTTCAAGACCTGCTCGATTTGTAGCATGGTGTCAGCTGGGCTGGTTACACTATGTCCAATCGTTCTGGGATCTTCAAATATGGCGTGGTCATTTCCTCCCTAAATAGCATTGTCTGCATTCGATAACTTTGAGTTTGTTATGTCGGTTAAAGCATAAGAAAAGCGAAGACTAACCGGCATTGTCTTGTCGCCAAAAAAGTGTATGACATCGAAATCCTTTTCAACGTACTGCAGACAGTATGTCTTATCCCATCCATACGGAAATACATCCACACTTATTTGGCCTCCTTAACATCCAGTGTATTTTGAAACAGCAAAGCAGCAAAACTTATCATTACCTATCACACAGTTGAGCCCATAATCTGAGAAGTTTTCCAATAGTGCTTTAACAAATTTTTCACGAATTTTGTGCTCCGCGTCATAAACAACAAACTGATCACGCTCTGCTTGACTACAACTTCGACCAATTGGAGACAAATTGAGCATACCCTTGAAAACGAATGAATAAGAATTGACCAATTTCAAAGCTGACATGCAACATCTCACCTTTCTGAATTCAACAAAATTTCCCCGTTTTACGGGTAGGGTTATTTCAGAGAAATATTTCAGCGTGAAGTTTATCAGCTTTTGAAGCTT